TACAAATAATTGAAAGGCTTGAAATATTTCATCTAATTTTTTTCGTAGAATGTATGCTTATATTTTATGATTTATATAATGATAGTATTTTTGATAATTATATTTAATAAAATACTATATGCTAATAGTCGATAAGAATTCATTAATTTTTTTTTATTTATTAATACATTTATTAATGCGTTTCGATTTATTATACATTTACGCAAACTTCCTTCCTTCTTGTTACAGAGTAAGTTCTTAATAAACGCAAACTTGCTGATATTTTTATAACAAATTTTCTTTTTCATTTTAAGTATCTATTATTGATATACTATCATTAAAGATTTTGTTGTAAATTATAAGGTTTATTGATAGAAAAAAACAGTTGCAAATACATAGAAGTACAAATTTTTATATTTGATACGACCAATTAAGTATTACTATATTAACTATTTCATAGTTAGCAAACACAATAGTTAGCTTATAAGAATTAATTAATACTCAGCTATTTTAATTTTACTTTTTACTTATAAAAAATACAATTTTATACTTATAACTGAATCTGTAACTATATAGTTTTTATTTACTCTATTTCACGTTGATAAATCTCACATAGTTACATAAAATTTAACACAAATGTAATAATTATTGCATTGTATTAACAAAATATATGAAATGATTTTTGATGATAAAAGCAACGAAGAAATATTTAACAAGACATATGCCTTTAACTTTTATGCATATAATTATAAATTAGAAAATGAAAGCAGGCATTTGTATTTTATATAAACAACAATTATACTTACGATTATAGCAATGCAATATTCTATTGCACTAGTATTTGCTTATAAATTAGTAAAGCACTTTTATTATAAATTTTATTATTTAAGCATAATTAACTTCAAAAATAATTCTCTTAAAGTAGATAACAGATCTATGAGTTAAAATCTAAAAATATCTATGTTAAATCCATGATTCAATTTGTAAAGAAAAATTAGCAAATATCATTTAACTTATTGAAGTATAAAATCAAATTGTAAAAACTAATATTACGATGTGTTTTATCAAAGTTAACTAATTGTACAATGTGCAGGAGTTAGCTTGCTTGTTTTGATTGAATGAGCAGCCTCTGTTGATGTTGTACCTGTTGAAGTTAAAGATTCTCTGCGTTTAATTATTGGAGGCATGCTTCCTGTAGTATCTAAAAATTCATCCTCATCCGAATCAATCTCTTTATCTTTAAGGTTTCCGAACTGTTTTCTCGGTATTATTTCACGTATATATCGTTCGATCATATTTTGATTGTAGCCATTGACATTATCATTGTTTGTTGAAAATGGTGAAATTTCAGTTGTTTTCTTTAGTCCGTTATTATTTTGTTCAATGTACATTCTTTGAAGTTCTGCTAAAGCCTCGTCCATAAAACGCACATTTTGCTGTTTACAATCGATTATATTATCAAGAAATTCTATAGATTTAGTATCTTTTACTACCTCATTAGGCTTATCTTTTGATATTTCTTTATTTAATATAGAAGTAGTAAAAACCATAGGAAAGGCAGACTTTTGTGATGCTGGATCAATATGCAATGAGGACTTGTATATATTGGGTTCTTCACTTATTGGTTCAGTAGAATAAATTTTGTTATGATCACTTGGACATTCTCTACGAACATCTAGTTTTTCTTCCTTTATTTCTGAAGGTAATTGAACATTTGTTTTCGGAGCAGTATAAACATTCTGATTTCTTTCTTGTTCCATGAATTGTTTACTCTGAGCAGGAAGATTTCTCCATCTTGTGCTATTCATTACAAGTTGAGCTAATTGCTGAATTGTTTGTTTGGGTACTACTTTATGAGGCTCTTCCGAATTTATAGCATGTGTTACTAATTTAGCTGGTGTAGATGTATCACATGGTACGTAGCATGGTTGAATATTTGATTGATTCAACTGTCGTAAATATTCATAATGTTCACCTTGGCCAGCAAGTAAATTATCATTTATTATTTTTTTAAAGTTACTTTTATTTGAATTTGCAGAGTTAAAACAACTTGTAAATGGTTCTGACGTTTGTCGTTCTGTTTCTAAAAAAGCAGCTGTAAGTATCATTGCTGCTGTAGGCTCTCTTTGTGTAAATAATTTTCTCCGTGCATTTAAACTTTGTCTCATGCTTTGCTGAAGTCTTGCACTCTCAACTTTCTCTTCAATTTGTTTTTCTATTTCTAAAAATTTAGTCGTTTCAATTATTAATGTATTTATATCAAATTTCATGTTTCCAACTTCTTTAGCAATACGTCTTTCTGCCGAAGATTGTGTTCGTGTTTCTGCATTGAAGACAGGTTGCAGTCCTAATCTTTGTTGAGCTTTGACAAATGGAGATTGCGATACAGGTCCCAATTTTGACCAAATTGTGCCCGGTTTTTTTGATGGACTGGTAATTGGTGAAACAATACCAGGTCTTGTCAATATAGGATTCTTATTGATCAGCTCTATATTAGAGCTTGGTATTGTACAAGGTACACGACATGGTTTTGGAGGAACTAAATCCAATTTTGGAGGAACCACTCCTGGTTTTGGGGGTGGATCTAAAGATATTATAGCTGGTTCTTTAAAAGATAGTTGATTTTGTTGTTCTTCGTCTGCATTCTTATTAAGAACTTTAGCATGAACAACATTTAATAAATGATCTAAACGACTTTCTAATCGACTTTGTCGATCTCTATCTATATCTAAAAATTTAGATACCATATCATTTTGTGCTGCAAGTATCTGAAACAAAATTATAAAATAAATATACATGAAATTATGTACATAAATGTAATCAAATTAATAATGAAAATATTAATGTAAAACCTTATTAACAACATCATTTTGGGTATTAATTGCACTAAACACAAGTTGCTCCAACTTCTGTGCCTTCTTTTTTCTCAGTGGAATATTTGGCATATTCTCTGTATTTACAGCTGTATCTTTTAATTTATTATCATTTTCCGATGGAGTAAGTGAGTCTATTGAGCAATCCAATAAAAGGTTATCATCATTATAAGTTGCATTATTTGTTACTACTGAAATTTCAGGATTTACTTGAGTAAAATTATCTATTTGTAATGAACGATTATATGTCTCATTTAAATTATGCAATTTTGTTTCGTTTTCTGTTTGACAGAAAGCTACATTTAAATTTGGTGTTACATCTAATGAATAATTAGGAGATCCATATTGTTTTGCATCTATTGTAGCAGATATTGGAACAGTATCTTGATAACGTCTGTAAATACCTGATCCTACATTTTGTCCATAAATAATTTTTTGTGGTTCTTGTGGCATTGCTCTGTTATTTGTCATTATAGTTTGATGTAACTGGTTATGTTGCCTTAAAATATTAGGATTTATAATAGGTAAAGTAGCAGTGTGTGCTGCATCATTAATAAAATGTGGCATTCTTTCTTGATTTATATTATTTTGAAAACTTAAACCAGGAACAAACATATTTTGTTGCTGCATTTGATTCCATATATGGTTTTGTAGGAAATTCTGATTTTGTTGCATATTTTCTTGTATTATTTGATTTTGCACATTCTGTACACTATTTTGATATGGAATATCCCCAGATGGATAACTAGAAAATATGTTTTGTTTACATTTTTCATGGATTGGCTCTTCTACAGGAGCAGAAATGCATTGATCCTTTGTTTTTCTTTCTTGCATAGAAGTATTAACAGCAACATCTCTTGTAGGAGAAAGGACGCCATAGGGACGAGCTATGATAGTTTCATTTGATTCTGGAGAATCAGGATATTCATATTCACCTGATATTATGATTATAATTTAGATAATTCTAGAATATTTTTATATATTAAATTAAAATAAGAAGTGTTCTTACGGCCAATTGTCCATGTTGGAGAGAGAGCTTCTGTACGAAGAAAAGATTGTACTGGCTCTTGGAACTTATGCCGCATTTGTAGGTTTTTAGATGATTTTATATCCTTTGAAAGAGATTTTATATTTGTTGCAATATCTAGAAAAATATACATATACATAGATAGAATTTCATTATTATAACAACATTAGAATTGACTATCATTGACACTAACCCACTGTATCAATTCCGCTATCAACATTGTTCTCTAAGCGTTTGCTTTTGGAAACTTTGTCAATTAACTCATAATATTGTTCTACATCAGCACGAGTACCTGCTTTTTTGGCTTCACGATAACATATTAATACTTGTTTCATTCTTGAACGACATTGATTTGCCGAGACATTATATCCTTTTTTTTTCATATATCTGGCTACACTCTCCCATATAAGTTTTGTCTTTGTAGCATATTCAAATTGCTTTTGAACTTGATTGTCCGACCATATAGAAACCAACAAAGATGTGCTTTCAGGTGTCCACTTATATTTTGGTATATTTTCTATATTATCCATTTTTTATGAATTTATGAAAGAATTTATAGGATCATCAATGCAGTGGACATAACGAATGAAAAATAATACACACTATTACCATATAAATCAACAGGTTGTAGATAAAAAAAGAACGAGATGGAAGTTTCGAGAACGATGAATCGACTCACACAATCTACGATAGACTAACCGACTGTCTTCAGCAGAAGAGTTTAAAATTTAAAAGAATCGTTGTACAATTTTCTGATTGGAGAGATATAAGTGTTTTAACTGGTCCATGAATTATGCGCATTCGTACTGCGCATTATGCGTATTTCTTATGAAATTAAATAAGATATCGAATACACCGTGCTGTATCTTTTACAGTGGCGTAATCTATTTATTTTTACGACAATAAAGTTTTTTACGACAACGATGATTTTTTACGACTAATAATCGAAAATAAGATATTTGTAGATTTTCTCAAATCATGATAATCGATCAAAACAGGAGTATTGATTTGAATTTTTTCTTTATTCTTTTGTTTTTAAATAAGATTTATACAATTTTTTAGTATTTATACAAAAGAATTTGAAATTATCTCTGATTATGTTATTGATACCCAACCCAATATATTATTAATTAATCATATACACAATATATGTTTATATCGAAAATATTTAACGTTTCATTATAATGACATGGATAATTTTACGTTTTATTTAAAATTTACGAAACCTCTAATTCTTAACCTACCAAATCTTAAAGGTAAATTCATTTCACTCGACTACTGCTTTAAATTCTGTCAAAAATATTATGTATACCTAGATCGTGCAATGGCTGCATTATGGTTGAACAAATTGACTGATATAAATGAAAGTATTCCGAAGGACAATCTTCATGTTGAATATTTGAAATTATTGTTATTCGCACTACAAAAGAACAATCTTACAGGTATTTTTACAGAACATCCACCTGAAGGTTTACTTCCGCATTATCCAGAAATGAACACGGTTTGTTAATAATAAAATTAAGTTAAAAAGTTTTTCACTGAGTAGCAATGAATTTGTTTATTATGTTTTATTAAATTTTTAAAAAAGTATACAATATGTAATAGAAATGTGGTTTCTAATGTATCAAGATGATATATATATATTTGTATTAGTTATGAAATTTTAATTTAACAGAAAAAAATAAAATGATATATATATATTGTTTGTAATGTATTCTGTCAGGCAATGGACATGATAAAATTAGTAATTCCAACAAAAAAATTGTCATCTTCCTTACCTTCAATTTATACTATAATAGGAGGTGGCATGTCCGAATTCGTTGCAATTCAAGAAATACCGAATTTTGGATTGCACGGTTACTATGCTATATCTAATGAACCTTTACCATTGTATGTATATTTATATAAAATTTCTACAGAACTACTATTATTACGTCAGAATTCTTATCTGTAAAATAAGCTTCCTTAAAAAATTTATAGGTGGACACAGAATAAAACTGAACTATTGAAAAATAATGAGAATACAAAAAAAATATCTCGATTTAAAGATTCTCTCAAATATAAAATGCTCAAAGAAATTAATTTTCAACAAACTGCATCACAAAATAATCACATCTCGAATGAAACGGATACAAACGAAGAGTACTCTTTACAATGATATATATGTTGAATAAAAATAATTACTTAATTATTTAATTATAAACTGTATTTTTTAGAAGCGAAAGAAAGGAAATATCAACAAATGAGACAAGGCCATGCTGGAGAACAAATCGTTATTTTGAAAAACTTTTAGATCAATCTCGTTAGTAAATTTATTGCTAATAAAGCAATTGCTCTATTGGCAACAAGTTTAAACTCATTCTTTCATAATTTTTTTTTAGCTCATATTGCTACAGATCTTGAAGTAACAACAGCAGATACATTATTGCATATATTTAAAGAGAAAAAATTAGATAAGAAAAAAATAAAGAATGATTCTTGTGTCTTATCTGTGAAAAAAAGACAATTCGAAAAGATGTCGAATTTTACACCTTCCGTGTAAGATATATCATTAAAATATATATTAATTTTATTGTAGAACTTATGATTTGATTTTTCTTTTAATTATTATAATCCTTTGTTTAGATATGAATCAGGATTTGATAAAATACAATATCAAAGTGATAGTGGTAAGACAAATTAAATAAAGTTAAAAATAGAGTTATATTATTGCATTTATAGATTGTCTTAGTAATTTCTATGAATATTGTAGAAGAACAATTAAAACAAAATGTTTGTATCGATGGTATAAATTGTTGTAGAAGAAATAATATTCCAAGTAAGAGTTTCAGTAATATAGATACAAAAGTAAAATATATTTTAAATAAACTATTTGCAAGATATAAATTTATTTAGGAAATAAATGTAGAAATAAATGGAAAAATGCCGGTCCCCATGAATTTTCTATTTCTTCAAAGAGCTGTTTTTTAAATCCAGATTATTGTTCCCGATAGTAGCAGATCTTTATGAGACTTTTTTTATGTCATAATCAATTGATCAATTATACAAAATATAGAAACATTAAGAAAATAAAAATTGTAAATTCAATTAAATTTTACATTTCTTTAGTTTAGTTATTTCTCTTCAAAAGTGAAATTACTCTAAATTGTACAAAAATATCTTTTGTGTGTTAAATGATACTTAATTCTTTTCTGTCTTCTTTTGTTTCCTTCTGGAAATCTATTCTTGTATAATATTCCAGAAACAATTTTTATACAATCTCAATATGTTGAGATGCAGTTAAGATACAATTTTATACTAATATTAGAGTTATTTTTTATATTTTACAAAACTTGTTCCTCTATATTTGTTTTTATCTCTAGACATTTTCTATGCCAACAAAGTGTTTTACAAGATCCATTTTCCTCACGTATTTGCTCAGTTCTTTGAATGACTTTCCAATCTGGATATCGATGATTTTGATAACGATCTTTATAGTCATAGATTCATTGCCTGCATATACACCTAACACGAAGATCATGTCGGTATACTCTCGATTATCCTAGTAGTCAGTTTCAATATTTATATATTTTTTAGAAAATTTTAATATTTTTTGTTTATTTACTTTACTTAGTAATGGTTTCTTTCTAGTTATTTTAAATTTATACACTGCTCAATGGAGCACTCGTCGAATGGTTTCCGGCTGGTCTGTGTGACTATATTTTTGAATTTCAGATGCAATTTCAGATGCACTTATGCCTGGTTTTCTGCACTTATGTCTGGTTTATCTTTAATAATTTAAACAATTATTCATTTTTCTTTCAATGACAATTTTCTTGGTTGACCACTTCTTTTTGTCTTGCAATATTCCTGCTTTATTAAATTTCTTCACTATACTTTGTACTGTTGAATGACTTCTTTTTACAATTGCTGCAATGTTTGAATACGAATTACCTTCTTTAAATAAATTTATAACAATTCTTGTCTCAATGAAAATTTAGCGAGCAATGAATTTATAATTATTACCGTTGTTAACTTTTGTTTTTTTTCATACTTGTTATTACTAATGTTAGAATACAATATACAATCACATATATATCAATATAATTAATAATGTATAAAAAATATAATAATTTTTATTTCCATATTTCTATTTTATGTACTATATGTAAATACTTTTGTCTTCCACTGTGTATGTAACCATATCGATATTATGACAAAACTGAATTGTAAATTATAAATTTATCCGCAAAAATCCTTGTACGAAAAAATATTATTCTACATTTTCTATTTATTTTTTCATTTAAATTCACCTCCTTTCAGGGTATAATAATTATCAAGTTAATAATAATTACTAAGGTAAGTAAATGTGAAATTAATAATTACCAAGCATATTTTAAGTGTTCTTAATTTGTAAATTCTTTCTTTTGTTATTGGTTCATAGTTTTCCAATTTTGATAAATGGCCAATCAAATTAGAGAACAGTTATTAGTTAATGTCATTGGGTTGTTTTTCGATAGGTTTTGAATCAGAGATTACACAAAGGTTGACAATAACAGTCTGGCGGGAACTATTTCTATGTTACACTTGTATACAATCAAAGTTTATTGTTTTATATAAAATAATATTAAATGTTTTGTAATGAATTTATATTTTTACATGTCCAATATATTATTCTTGTAATCATAGAGAAAGAAGAAATACAGCCAAAGTCATTAAGAATTAATTTAATGTTAGGATTGAATGATAAAGAAAAAGTTTGTGTGGTTATCGTTTTCTGTCTTATAATTTTGTTATCGTTGTTACTTTCTCTATTTATAAGATGGCAAAAGAGCAAAGGATTAGAAAAAAGAGAAGAAGCGTGGAATTCGAAAATGATAATAGAAAAAAATCGAAGAATTCTTCTGACAACACTTTTACGCGGAAAGTAAGTATTTTGGAGGTACAACATAGAATGAAAGAAAAATGTAATAAATAATAATTATTATTAAAAGAACCATTACAGAATTTAAAATCTAAAAGAAATTTATCTACTAATATATATATATTGCAAGTGATAAATTTATAGCTTTTTATTTTTCTTTTACAGTATATTGTTGGTAAAATAACCAAAATCGCTATGCAAAATTTCATGTGTCATGATGCTATGCAAGTAACATTAAATCAAAATGTAAATTTTATTGTGGGAAGAAATGGCAGTGGTAAAAGTGCTATATTAACTGCTTTAACAATAGGACTTGGAGCTAGAGCCAATGTTACTAATAGAGGTGTATCCGTTAAAGGTAAACATATAATAAAGTATTACAAATACTAAAGTTAAAGTATATATACTATAATTCTGATCTATTCAATAGATTTTATCAAGAAAGGTAAAAGCGTGGCTGTTATAGAAATAACATTGATTAATAAAGGTTGTATGGCCTATAAACATGATATATATGGTGATTTGATAACAATTATTCGATCTATAGGCAAACGTTCTGGATATAAAATTAAAAATTGGCAAGGTATGTACATTTTCGTTTTTTATATTTAATATAATGCAGTAATAATTTGTTAAAGTTATATCTGTTTTAAAGGTGAAGTTATTTCAACAAAGCGAGATGAATTAGAGAGTATATTATACGCAATGAATATACAAATAGATAATCCAATTTCAATATTAAATCAAGATGTGTCCAAAACATTTTTAGTATCATCTAAGAGTGAAGAAAAATATGAACTATTTATGAAAGCTACACGTTTGGATGTAATTGGGAATAATTATAGAGAAGCTATAATTTCTAGTGAAGAAGCAAATAAAAAGTTGGAACAGGCTAATGAGGTATGCATATATTTTTTAATGATATTATTAATGATTTAATTTCTAATAAAGCTAAAAATAAAATTAAAAAATTGTATAGGTATTACATAAAACAAAAGAAGAACTTGATGATCTTAAAGAAAGAATAAAACTATTAAATGAAGTTGATGGATTAAGAAATAAATTAGAAGATTTACATATGGAATTGCAGTGGGCTATTGTAAGTTAATATTATATCTATAAATATCTTTTTGATTTATTTGTATATTTGAAAACTTTCAAGATTAGTAGTAATAAAGATAATAAAGTATTGCTTAAAATACGTACTTAAAAATTCAGGTGATATCAGAAGAGACAAAACTTCAACATTATAAAGAAAATCTGCAGAAGTGTAAACAGAAACTACAAGAACTTAAAGAAACTGCTGGATCTATGGAAACCAAAGATGCAGAAATTACTGAAAAAATAACGTAAGTACGAGATATAATATATTAAAAAAAATCATGTTTATTTATGTGTTTAATATTATTTTCATTTTATAGTCAATTACAGAGTGAAGTACAACAAGCAGAACAAAAGGTTTCAGATAGTTCCAATAAATTCAAAGATGCAAAAAATAAATGTATTGTTGAAAAAGAGACATATTCTGCTAAAATTAAAGAATTGCGTATTGCGCAAATAAAAACAAAACATTTGGCGGACGATATTAACTTACTTCGTAAAGAAATTCAGCGGTTAGAATGGTAATATGATTCTGATATAAATAATATAAAATAAAATAATATTTTTATATATTTATTACATATAATAATATAATATATATAATACAAATAATATAAAAAAATAGTAAGATTATATAGAAAAAATTATGTTTATAAATATAGCGGAGATGATAAACAGAATGAACGAAACAAGATAAAACAATGTCTTGGAGAATTGCAACATAAACTTGATGAAGTTGAAGCTATGTTACGTACGAAGAAAACAGATTCGATGCATTTAGAAACAAACAGAGTGAGACGTTCTCAAGAAATACAATCAAAAAAGATCGAAATAGATAGTAATGAAGTTCGGATTCGTATGTATGAATATTGTAAATAGATTGAATGCACTTTTACTTTTATGTCGTATTATATATTCTTTCTTATCGCTAAAAAAGGTAAACTCAAGCGAGAATTACAAGTTTTAAAGCAGCAATCTGATAATGCATTAATCGTGTTTGGACCAAATATACCGCGGCTACTTAAACGTATCGAAGAAGAATATAAAAAAGGACGTTTTAAACAGAGACCTCGTGGTCCTCTAGGTATGTTAGAATTATTTATTTAATTACTGTTCATTTCTTATATAAAATATTTAAATTATATTTCATATTGAATGTTTTTATATATTCGATTTTTATATAGGTGCATATGTAATGATGAAGGATCCAGAATGGATTCCAGCTGTGGAAAATTTTTTGGGTGCTACTTGTTTTAGTACATTTTGTGCGGATAATAGTGAGGATGCTAAAGTACTTACCAAAATCATGGAAGAAGTTTTTCTTAATGAAAGAATACCTCAAATCGTGTATAGCAAATTTTTCAGTAAAGTAAGTCTGGTAAATGTTATAAAACATATAAATAAAAAGTAATATAGATTATAACAATATATAATTATTTTCAGATTCATGACGTTAGTCAACATTGTACTCGTTCGTCTGACTATTTCAACATGTTAGAGGCAATGGAAATATCGGATCCTGTTGTAGCAAATTGTTTAATAGATCAGTGGGAGATCGAATGTGTATTACTCATTCGAACAGGTCAAGAAGCGTGCGAAATTATGTCTGATGCAAAGAAAGTTCCACGTAATTGTAAAAGAGCCATAACTCAACAAGGTGATATGTTTTATCCAGATCCAAATTATCGAACTTATGGAGCAAGACGAGGAATAAGGGCTAAATATCTTCAAATATCCACTACGGAAGCCATTTAGTGAATATATTTTTCTTACATAAATATTTTTCATAATATTTTATTTTTTAGTAGCAATTAAAAATATTTCATAAATTGTTCGATAGCCGATTAGAAGAAGAACTCGCTATTGTGGAAGAAGAAAGAAATGCTGGTATGAAATTATATACAAATTTATGTGAACAGACAGAACGAACACAACGAGAATTAGCAGATGTTAATGCTAAAATAGCGAAATTACATTCTGCACGAGACAAATATAAAACAGCAATTAATGATTTTACAGATAAGATAAAAGCGAGTGAAGCTATATCAGTAACCGTATTTGTAAGCATAATTTAAATAACGTAGTAAATCATTTGACATATAAACTAATTCAGTATTAAACTCTAATAATTTCTTAATTATAGCATACTGAATTAACAGAATTAGAGAAAAAATTACAAAATGAAAAATCAGAAGAACAACGTTTAAGTATAGAGATAGAACAATTGGAAAAGAATATTAATAATTTAGAGAATGAAGTTAAACATTACAGAGAATTGAGATATGATTTAGACTTGAAAGTCAATCCTTTAAACGTAAATTATATTATATATTTTTTATTCAATATCTTTCTAAAGAGTTATCTATATCGCTCCATTTTTGAATTGTGATTTCACAGGAAGAAATTCGTCGTCTTAAAGATGAAAAAGAAATGCTTCATTTAAAAGATCAGCAAGCAACCCGTACTTTAAAAAAAACCGAAGAAGCTGTGCAAAGTGCTGTTGCAGAATTTGAAAGTCAACAAGAAATAACAAATGAAGCGATAGAAAATGCGAGTAAATGTTGTCCAAGGATGAATACAGAAAGGTTGAAACTAGGTTTTATTTATTATTATTATTATTTTTTCTTCAAATAATTACATGAATTTTGTACGTATATTTATAAAGTTACTTTTTTTTTAAATAATGTTATCCTACAGAACGATGAATGAAATAAAGAACTTACATAAAAGTTTAAAATGGAAGATTCATGAAGTAGAACAATCATTTGGTTCTAAAAAAGAATTGTCTAAAAAGTTAAAAAGCATGAAGGAAAAATACAGTAACGTAATTGAATTCTCTTCTGTTATTGAAGAGAATAATAGAGTAAGTTATCTGCAGAATTAAATTTTAGTTTTACAATATACGTCGACGAATGATACTTTTTTTTTTTAAATTATACTTATAGAATCAATTGCGACGTCTTAAAAGCCGGAAAAAAATGTATGAAAATATGAAACAAGCTATTGGCGTTAAAGTAAAAAATTCTTTTTCTACTATATTAGCACTTAGAAAATATAAGGTACCCAGATATATATAGTATTTTATTCTACAATTTTCAATTTGTCCGCTTAACTTTGATCTAATGAAATCACTATTTTTTCAGGGTAGTATAAACATCGATCATGTACATAAATTACTTACATTACAAGTAAGTCCTCAAAATGATAATCAAAATTCAATTACCGATACTAGATCGTTATCCGGTGGAGAAAGATCTTATTCTACAGTTGCTTTCATGTTAGCTCTTTGGGACTGTACTAACTTGCCATTTTATTTTCTGGATGAATTTGATGTATTTATGGTACGTTGATCATTTTCTATATCGAGTTACATTTTTCATAGTTATGATATTTGCTTTTACAATTTTTTTATCAGGATAAAGTAAATCGACGAGTGATAATGGATATTTTATTAGATTACACTAAATCACATCCTCAATGTCAATTCACTTTCCTTACACCTTTGGACACATCAAATATCTTGGCAGAAGATTTTGTGACGATACATCAGTAAGTGTAGCGTATATTATTTTTGTAATATACCGAAAATGCAGAATGGAAAAGTAAGTTTTCTAAGTTAATTATATTTCCTTTTTCAGATTAGCTTCGCCAGAAAGAGCGTAATGAATAATTTCTATTTTTTGTGAATTTTCTGAAAAGTTATATTTTTTTGTAAAAATGTGAAAAAAATAACAAAAAAAATTACAATGTCAGAAAACGTAAAGTTATTATTTAATCGCCTTATTTTTATTAAAAAATATATGATAAAGATATTACTACGTTCTACACTTCAAGTCCCGTGAAATATGTATATCGGAGAGGAGGATATATTAACTGTAAGTGGATCAAGGTTCGGGCCATTGTGCGAATCTGGTCCGGTAGGAGTTCCCAAATAATGCAATATTTTACATTACGCGCATTATGTACGATGCTCTGTGTGGACGGAGATGTGGGGCGTGGTTGTGTTGTGCAATGATTGGTCGGAGAAAGTATTCAAAGAACGGTGTCCGTGAAACGGCACCGACCGAGCTCATTACTCAAATTTCTATCTTCGTTTCCTTTTCATGAGATCACCTAAAGAGATGTTAATTAAAGTCGTAAAACTTTTGATAAACATAACTGTTTTTTTTATGACAAAAAGAGAATATTAAATATGAGAAAATATGAGGATAAAGTAAAGAGGCAATACAAAGATCTAAAGAGAAAGGCAATTTTTTTATATAGTTGCTAAAAAAAACAAATTTATTGATCAAACATTGTTCCTAACAAGAGATGAGTTCAGAGATCAGTTCAATGATAGTAGGCCGGGGCTGCTTGTGCGTACGTGACGGGGGTTGCAAGTTTGGCTACGGGTGCGGCGTAAGTGAGAGGAGCGGCGAATTTGGCGACAGGTGCGGCATAAGCGAGAGGAGCAACATGGGCGACGGGGGCTGCAGCGAGTTTGGATACTGGTGCGGCGTAAGCAAGGGGAGCAGTATGAGCAACGGGAGCTGTGACGTGTGTGGCGTAAGTCAGAGGAGCGGCGTGGGCGATTGGGGTTGCAACGTGAGCTACTGGAGCAGCAGCTACGGCTTTAACGGCGACGGTAGCGGGTTCTTTGCGTACAACGGCATTGAATCCATTTACAGGATCAGCGGTATAGTCAACGGTGCGTCTGGAGCCATCAGCTTCGAGAAGAGAGTAGCTACCCTGAACGACATCGCCGTCACGAGTCTCCTGTTGGTTCTTAGCATCACCAGTTAGACTGTCGTGCACATCGTAAGCGTAGCTATATTGGGGATGCGGATCGTAGTCAGCATCAACGGCTTTGGCTACTACAGCTTTAGCTACTGGAGCCACTGCAGCTACTGGAGCCACTGCAGCTACTGGAGCCGTAGCATAAGCTACAGGGGAGGCTGGGATCAAACCAGCATTAGCGGCGGCCACGAGGGTGGCGAAGGCTACGAACTGTAATAAAAAAATAGATTCATTAGTTAAAAGATGATACTTCGAATATTCAATTGATTTCGTTCAATTCAATGATTCTCTTTTTTATATGCGTATGCTTAGAGCGTTTCTAAAATTCGTGTGTGTCAAACGAATCGAAATGCAAATCGACATGTCGCTTTCGAATAGATTGCATTCACGGCGATATTCGAAGGATTACAATGGCTTCGTGTTACGAACGATCTCTTTCTTTCACAAAGCAACGACGATTTATACGATGTAATAAACGAAGAAAAAAAGAAAGCGATTGTATTCACAACTCTTCGATACGCATAAAAGTGTTCTTTCGTTATACCTTGAAGGCCATTGTTCTTCGAGTGGATTGGTAGATCTGTCGATCTGGTAGTTTGTGATGCGAATGATGCTATGGATGGATGGTTTTCGGCTTTTATACTCGACGGAGCAGGGCTCACGGGGCTGCTGACGTAACCGGGTGACGGTTCTTACGACGGTCAACCGATTCGCGGCCACGGAGCAACGCGAAATTGAGCAAGAAATCAGACCACGCCCAATGCACGACCAGCCGGTGATCGTTGGATCATCGGCACCATGGAGGAACCATCGTTTCGGACTGGGCCACGTCCTTGCTACAAGTTACTTAATTATACCGTAGACTTCTCTGCCAAGTCTCGCCTTTCTTTCTGACCTTGTCATTCAATCCGTTTATCAAGGTATCCATTTACCAATCTATCCTTTGTCTTTCCATTTTGACCCTACTTTCAAACTATCTGTCATTTCTTTTTACCCTCGTAACATGTTCTACATTCCACTTTCTCCTTCATACAAGTTGTTTATCGGAGAAACTTTGATGAAATGTTCATTTCCTTTGCAATTGCACTCATTGAAATCTCCAGATATATACTTTAGATGCAATACGTAGCTACAATCTATTCTATTAGATGAGTTAAAAGCAATGATGCTTTGGTATTTAACTGTAACTAAATAATAAGATTTCAAATAATGATATTGTATTTTCTCGAGAGATCGAAAGCGAGATATTAGGATTACCGAAGTATATCCGGTATATGGCTCGTCGTCGGTTAGTGGCCCATAAACTTCCTTCTTCGACCTTGAGTATCCCCATACTTGGTAAAATCAAAGCCGTCTGCTCTTTTTTTAATTAATGCAAAACAGAAAAAAAGCATAGGACAAAGGACTCGATCGAAGTGGATCCGGATCCATATATGGATATATTGTCATACCTGTTACATATCATTCTTTACGAATTTTTTAAAAATTTGATCAAATTCTTATTTGTTCGTTGCGATACTCGTAAGAAAAAAGAAAGTCATGCATGCTTATCCGATTTAACATATGCGGATATAGAAAGAACGTAATGTGATCTAAATGGATCTAAAACTATCTCCTCGCATTAAGATCAAAGTTTCTTGAATCTTCCTGGGCGTATTGCTATGACAAAAGACGGTGAACCAGCAAAATCTTGATTTTCGATTGGTACGATACGATTTTCGATTGCCACGGGCTGTCAATCGATCGGGGCGTACCACTGATTCGGCAGCCCACCTATCTTTTCTTTATGAAAGTGCTCCACTTATTTCTCGTGGTCCCGCCGGCTGTAACGTTAGATATGACGCAATCGAAGAAGTAGTTCGCTGTTCAGGACATACTGGCTGACACGTTTCCTTCGAAACTTTCGCGACGCACCATCGTTCACGATTTTTGATACGTGGCACCAGACTTGAAACTTAGTGAGAGACAAAGAATGGATATCCTTTTGATTTTTTTGCTGTCAAATGCAAAGAAATTAGAAAGAAATAATACCGTAATATTATAATATATAACACTGTATTTTTTATTTATTTGTTCTACAAAATTTGTAATTTTTTATGGAAATATGTTGCGTTTTTTAATATGTGCATTTTCATAATAAGTTAAGAAAACTATGTTACAAATTATAAAATAGTTAGTATAAAATTTCAGTGTTATATAATATAATTTTAATCTTTTCATTTTTGATGAAATTCCTATTTCGATATAAATTATGTAGAATTAAAACAGAATCTATTGCAGAAAACGTGAAAAATTAAAAATATAAGTTAATGTCTAATATTTTTCAATGTTTTTTAAAGATATCGAATTATCTACAAGTTTTTTTTTTATTATAATATGTCTATATTTTCTATTTAGAAGATACTTCAACTAATTATCAATGATCATTTCATCGATAAAGAACAATATAAACTCATAGGACATTAGAAGATTATACTAATTTTTTAGACATCCATAGATTTTTAATGCTTTCGAAAATAATATATACAAGTACATAGATCATAAGAGATTTGAACTAACCAAGTTCAAGTGTGGTTGACTTCAGTCGATATTAACTTTGCCGAACTTTCAAAGTTTGGTAGGCCGAAAGTAATAGTGGGGGAAAGAGTAACCGTGCGAACTCGAGTATATAAACCAGCGGGAATCAACGTTGGACATCATCAGTCGCTTAGTCGATCCAAACAAACCGAGTCTATTCAACAATGGCCTTCAAGGTGGGTAGAGGATCGATACGGCTCTTGTTTTACAAACATCTATGTCCAATTTTTAAGTTTGAACGTTAGAGCGAAATTTGAAATTATTCTAACAAATTATTTTTTTTCTTTCAGTTCGTAGCCTTCGCCACCCTCGTAGCCGCCGTTAATGCTGGTTTGATCCCAGCCTCCCCTGTAGCTTATGCTACGGCTCCAGTAGCTGCAGTGGCTCCAGTAGCTGCAGTGGCTCCAGTAGCTAAAGCTGTAGTAGCCAAAGCCGTTGATGCCGACTACGATCCGCATCCCCAATATAGCTACGCTTACGATGTGCACGACAGTCTAACTGGTGATGCTAAGAACCAACAGGAGACTCGTGACGGCGATGTCGTTCAGGGTAGCTACTCTCTTCTCGAAGCTGATGGCTCCAGACGCACCGTTGACTATACCGCTGATCCTGTAAATGGATTCAATGCCGTTGTACGCAAAGAACCCGCTACCGTCGCCGTTAAAGCCGTAGCTGCTGCTCCAGTAGCTCACGTTGCAACCCCAGTCGCCCACGCAGCTCCTCTGGCCTATGCCGCACCAGTAGCTAAGATTGCTGCCACCCCTGTTGCTCACGCTGCTCCTTTCGCCTATGCTGCAGCACCAGCATACGCTGCAGCTCCAGCATACGCCAAGTTAGCAGCTGCCCCAGCTCTTAGCTACGCCGCAACTCCAGCTTACACTAAGTTCGCCGCTGCGCCAGCTGTCACTTACACCGCCCATGCCACACCCATCGCCTATGCCGCTCATCCTGCCTCTCTTGCCAAGTTTGCTGTTACCCCTGCCGTCTCTTACGCTGCACCAACTCTTTATCATTAAGTCCACACTTGCCTCCATGCACCACGTTGTTGTCGACTAAGGCCGAATCTTATTTATTTTTCTTAGCAGACTACATGTGACTGATTAAATTGAGTTACTAATCTAATCTTTTTGGCTTGTTTCTATTATAACTCCGATTTTTCTCTTTCTCTTTCTCCTTTTCTTTCTCTTTATCTTTATACTGTTAGATAAGTATACTCATATCGCTGTCACTGTGAGAAACATACATATATCATTTTATCTCGCAACTTGCTTGGATGTTCATAATTTTATAACTTATTTCGCTTTCTTGTCAAAAGGAATGACAAAAGGATTAAGCTTTTTTCTATCACGAAATGCTATCCATAGTCCAAATTCTTTTTGACGATTGTCAAAATTGGCCCACTTTCTCCATTTTTCGTCTGTTTTTTCTTGAACGCCTTCTGACACGTGAAAGATACATTCCAACATCGTTAATTCGCGTTACGAACGTTTAACGTCGGCTTGAAAGGATCCTTAAGATCGTACGTGCTTCGATTTGAGGAAATCGTTGGTACATATACACCATGAAATTATACATCACTTTGATGGAGTTTGGTTGTTAATCATAACTTATGTTGCTTTAGGGTTTTTGCTAAAAGATTCTGGCAACAATATGGTGATTCAGATGAATATAATAGATTAATGAGCGTTTTAATGCCGCGCAAATATTATTTCGTATGTAAATATTACTACAAAAAACAAATTATCTCTTAATATTTTCTTTATTGATCTTATTTAAATGACAGAATCTTGATTGTTATTCAAACAAGTTATTGATATAATTTTGTCCATTTGTTTTTTATATGTGGTTTTCTTCATTCCTTTCCTTATCCTTGGCAGAACTTTACAGTCGCAATTCGAGGACATAAAAATATATAACAAATCCATTAGTGGAAGATTGAGACGAGTAAAATGATAGAAGAACGAGAGACTTCATGTGGGTAGTTGTTGAAGACAATGTCGTTGATCGTTGCTGATCGCACGAGTCGAATTCATAACCGAGGGAGAAAGGAGTTCAAATTCCGGGACACGATTTAAAAGATTGTGTAATCGAAGCGAAATGGAGCGCACTCGTATTTTTCGGAAGTACATATATATATACATGCAGCATGTGCGTATCACACTGTATGTACATAGGCTGGTTACGAAGTTGAATGAAATTAACGACGATTGAGGAGAAATAATTTCTAAATTTCTCATTCAGTCTAGTTCTTGTCACAATTTACATATTGTTTCATCATTACTATTGTTCTGGTCTAGATCTGACTTTTTATATTATTCGGCCAAATACTATATTTTATATTTCTTTTTTCTTATATAACATAATCGTATTTAAATATATTGTAGATTTTTTAGATTTTATCATAGATAACTGAACAGTAAGGAGTAATTAATTATATATATCCTCAAATACATTTTTATAATTAAAGTCAATAAAGAAATCCATAACCTCCGGGGCTGTTAATTTGGTCGAATACTTTGACGAAGTGGTCTACCAAAAAGTGAACCGGTTTCTCGAATGACTTATACGTATGTATAATACGTAATATAGGGCGCGATTACGAGAAGGTACATAGTGACATTGGGCGCGGTTCTCTGATGGTCGCAGCTGCAGCCCTGGTTTATTTGGTGAAAGTCGAAACCTTAGGCATATATTGCCTCTGTCTCTCCCTCTCTCTCTCTTTTTCACTTTTATCGTACACTCACGCCTCTTACTATGTCTGCCGCTTTTTATCGTGCTCCGTTTTTTATTAAGACCATACAGACCGAATTTATAGAGCAATTATGAGTTACGTTACGTTGTAATTGCAGGTGGATTATATAATACATATGTTGTCCTTCAACTTCGCAAATATTTTCTTTTCTCTCTGATGTCCTTGCAAGGTATTGTCCTTTAATTTAAGAAAGAAAATATATACAAACTATTATTTTGTAATCCTTGTGTTAGATTTAGAACTTTCTTATTGTTTTTTAATAGGGGTAAAGTGATGGATGTAATATAATTAATATTAAATCAAATAAAAATATAATTGCTTTACAGATTCAAGACAAAAAATTGTTATACGTTACAAATCTTCAAAAGTATCAAGTTGGAAGTAGTAATCATGATGATATAGTCGGCCTTCAATCGGTTCTATCTACTTACTTGTCTCTGCGTCTGCTCAATTTTGATATTATTACTTACATTGTACGAACAACTACATTATATGTTATAAATTAAACAAATATACTATTTTTATAATAAATATCCCTTTTTAGTGCATATAAATATAAGCAACAACGTCATAATGATGAATTTTTTAATTTATAAAATTTTAATTTATGAACACTGAATTCAATCATAAGAATCATGTTTGCTACTTACAGATAAATTAAAAGCCGATCGTTCGTAGTTTTTATCTTATTACGCATTTGCCATGCAACAAATAGTATTTGCCTAGCATTAGTCCGTTACGCGGCCAGCATGCGTAGTCGAAGGTCGAGGGGTATTACGATGTCGCATACTTGCTCGCATACGCACATTGTATGTTGCGTAAAAAACGTATACGTGTCAACGTAACACATTTTGCGTAACGGTGAACGACGATGAATTGGCTCCATGGATGAACGTGACAAGGCATCGATCTATCCATTGGTGATATTGATCGCCACACTTTTACTTTATTACACCTACGCTCGATCATGTATTGCAGGTGCACCATACATTGAGTTATGTTAATACAAACGAAGTGATTCTTTTCTCCCATTTACGACGCAATTCGATTATTTTTGAGAGGTCACGAAAGTTCAATATATTACTTGCATGAATTTTACACTTTGAAGAAGGGTAAGATACCGAAACAATAATAATAAAAGTCGTTGTAATGAGTTTGCTTATTATTTATATGTGTATCAATAAAGTAATATTATTTGAACATGTATATATATCATAATAAATTAAGATATAATAAATTGTACACATCAATTATATTATGATAATTAATTATTATCACATAATAAAAAGAAAGAATAGTCAAAATCAATATGCAGTATTGTTTCAAATGAGAATGAGTATACCTTATGAGCAAATAATTTAGATTAGATGTCTGCTTAAAATGTTTTTATTTTTTTAGTTCATATACATTTTCATGTAATAAGAAATGAGAAAACATGTTATAAAAGTGACTCGATTTCTCCAAAAATAGAAGTGAATATTATCCAAGTCAATTTCAGATTTTGTTTGGTACATAATTATAACAAATTGTTTGGTATATATGATAAAAAAGAAAATTGTTGGCTTTCATAGGTGCAACGTAAGTATCATCGACAAAGCTTAATTGCTATGAGGTATAAAAGAAAAATATCAATTTCAGAAGATTACAAGGGATTTATTAAAATTTTAATAGTAATATATCATTCGATGGACAAGTCGTGTAAAAATCAAGATTAAGCAATATGTTTTAGAGGAGTGCAGATGCATAAGTGAGACCAGTAAGAGGTGCCGCGTAAGCAAACGGCGATGAGTATGCTGCCGTGTAAGCGTTGTAGGTGGGATAAGTAGCGATAGCTCTTGTCGCTGGTAATTGGACTAATCCTCGTTGAGCATTTTCAATCTGTCCTAATCGGGGTTGAACCGGACTGGCGAGAGCTCTGACAGGTGAAGATCTCTGTTCCTGCTGTTTCTCCTGTTTTAGTTCTTCTTGCTGACTACCTTCTTGTTGGTGCTGTACTTGTTGCTGTTGCTTTTGTCTGACTTGTTGCTGAATCTGCCGGCGTGCCTGCTGTTGCTGTTCTTGTATCTGTTTCAGCTGCTGCAACTGTTGTTGCTGTTGTTCTTGTTGGCGTTGTTGTTGCTGGCGTATCTGTTCGAGTTGCTGTTGTCGCTGCTGTTGTTGCAGTTCGAAATCGCGCGAAGCCGGTGCGTTCTTTAGAGGTCCCGTTCTAGCTTCAACCACTTCAACGTCCGAATCCGGACCAGTCGCAGGAATAGTTGGTACAGCAGGTGCAGGTACAGATGCAGCTGCAACGGAAGGTGACACAGCGGGTGCATAGGGTACAAAAGGTGCGGCGATAGCAGCTAAAGCAGTAACAGGTTCCCTGCTAACAACGGCATTGAATCCATTTACGGGATCAGCCGTGTATTCGACGATACGTCGAGTTCCGTCGGCTTCGATCAAACTGTAACTACCCTGAACGATATCACCGTTTCTTGTTTCATACTGAGCCTTCGAGTCACCCGTCAGAGTGTCTTGGACGTCATAAGCAAAGCTATACTGTGGTGTCGCGTCAAATTCCTCCAGTTTTGCCGCAGGAACAGTTGCTACAGCTGGTATCACCGCAGGTACCACCGAGCATTGCCCGAATATCGCCAATCCCAAGAATACAACGAACTGAAAGGGAGGAAAAAATTAGGCATATTCCTCGAATTCTATCTGACAGTCATTTTAATCATATTAAGATCTAATTTCAATTTATAATGTTTTACGTATTAGCAATGTAAATTGATCAGGATTCAAGGATTTTAATCATTTCTTCTCCTTTGATAAAAATTATAGGGTTCCTTCGATTCTAGGACGTCTCTTCCCTTACATACCTTGCCAGCCATGTTTGTCCACAAGAGGATCGGCAGAAGACTGATGCCTCGGGGTAAAATCGGTGGCACTTTTATACGTCTCGGTTGCGACTCGCATTTTTGTGCCATCCGTATACAATAACCCGCGAGAATTCCTTGCAACAAAAGCCGCAACACGTCAAAACACCCGCCTTTACCGCCCCCACCTAATCTCTCGGTGATATCTTCTTTCTTCTTCTTTTATTCAACGACCTTCTCATAACCGTTGCGATACAACCTGGGCTTGCCCAGGGCATGATGCGCACGTGTACCAACAAGCACAATGAGTATGCGCGCTTATGTTTCTTCATATCGAACTGTGCCGCATACACGCGACCTGTATGCCAATACACCAATGACCAGGAACGTTCCTTGTACACCGAGGTCGTTCGACGAAAGCAAGTCTTTCCAATTGCACCTCAGCATACCGTCCTTCCTTTCCAAGTGCTAACCTTTCGTGATCATTGGGGTTGCTCGCTTCGACTCAAAAAAACCTGATGACCAAGCCTCGTCTTGTTTATTTGTCGTTCGATTTCAATATCTATTTCTTATTTTTCTTTGATTATCTAAAGATAATATTTCATATATTTAGTTAAGAATATTTAAATAGAACATTACATATTTTGTACAGTACTACCATAACATATAATATAAATCAGAACCATATAATGTTTTTATATCAGAAATTTAGTTTGTAAAGTCAATTTTTGTAAAATATTTATTTTTTTATTCTTCTTCGTATTTTGGTCAAAATTTCTTTAGTTTTTGTAAGCAATCATCAAGAATGACTTGGAGTCGTATACATTGTATGCTAATTGACATCGATGTAAGTAGATTTCGAGAGACAACAGAAGGTTGTTGAATAATGTGCCCAATACTTCAACGCGAGCCATCGGAAAATTCAGAACAAGTGACGGGCAAGGAGAGACAAGTATTGTCGACAGACGATTTACATTGCTTGTAAATGAAATCCTACGGGGATATTTATTGGATTGTCCGAAAAGATTGTGCCGATTTTTAGTAGGTGACGTAATGATAAAATCGGCACGAACTTTCCGGGCAACCCAATACTTTCATCATTTAAAACGAAGATCAAGTATTAATTGTCACCAATTTCCGGCGAGCTGACCAATATCTATACCAATATATAAAGAGGCAAAGTTTGTTTGTTCCATTGTTCGAAATAATCTCAGAAACTACTAAATCGATTTAATAAAATCTTTCACTGGCTAACAGCTTAGATCTTCCTGAATAACATAGGCTATATGCGATGTCTAGAAGCCTAACAACAAAGAACATGTATGAAGTCGGAAAAAATACAGTCTTTCACGTTCTATATTCTAATTTAACGTAAAAATTACGCAATCGATTTTAACGAAACTTTCACAAGTACATTTTTAGACATATCAATAGTTTTTAAAGGTATAAATCATTACGCTAAAATTTCAGGAAGTAGAACAATAGATGAAAAAGGGGAGTACCGTGTAAAAAGAATTAGTACGATTCTTCAAAAATCCTGGTGTAATCGTACAAAAGAGAAAGTTTCTTATGAAAAAGATTTATTACAAATAGATTTTTCTTTCAGTGAAATACATTTTATAAATCCATACTTCTCAATGCAAGGCACGTTTCTTCACGTACTCTACAAATATCTTTTGCGAAACAATGACGACTCGTCGATAGTTCAACGATTTTTTTCATAATATATGTTGGTAAGATAATAGAAAACAATCGAAACTTTAATCGCAATAATTCGCACCGTTTTCGATTTAAAAAAATAGATAATTGCAACAGTTTCATTTACATTATTTCAATGTATATATATATATAATAATTTCTAATTGATCCTTCGTCACATCACATCTTAATGCATATAGAAATAAGTATCTCTTATAGATCGATTGGTGAATATTAATTACACATTTACGATTTAAATTATGAAAGTCATCATATTTTTGACACAAACATTTCATAAAGGCATTATTTTTCTTCGAAATTACTTTTATTTTCAATCGATTAATACAAAACAAAAGTCTTCAGGAGATGTGTAATCAATCTTCTTTCTTTTCAAGAAATACTCAGTAAGTAGTTTTAAGTATTTTAACATTATCAAATCAAAGAGGTAAACAGGAAGCAGATGTATTATAATAAAATATCTTTATTATACATACAAAATGTCAATTAAAATTATTAGTTATATACAATGCTATAAAATTTTTTATTATCGACAGACAGTTTAAAATCTCGAAGCTTCTATAAAATATTGAATAAATTTTCATGCAGTATATAACATCTTCATTGCGATTTACTTATAAAGAACATCACGATGATTCATGGCAAGCATTTGCAGTATTTATAGCAAACTTCGTATCTTCATTAAGTTGAACAAAGAAAATATGAACCGAGGAGATATGCAGAGATAAGTGTGACTAGTTGTATGGAGAAATAATGTTATCAGTTATATTTGTATCTAGAATAGTTATAGTTAATGACGGTAGGCAATGGGAGCAACAGGAGCAACAGGAACGATCGGTTTGATAAGAGCTATAGGTTCCCTGTGGACGACAGCATTGAATCCATTAATTGGATCAGCCGTGTATTCGACAATTCGTCTGGTACCATCAGCTTCGATTAAGCTGTAACTGCCACTAACAACGTCACCATTTCTGCTCTCGTGTTGACTTTTCGAATCACCGGTCAAGCTATCGCTTACATCGTAAGTGTAAGTGTATTGCGGATGAGGATCATAATCCGTTGCTGGAGCTATAGGAGCAATAGGTACTGGAATAGCTCCTCCGTTGCATAGAGCAAACATTCCAGCTGCCATGACGACAAGGATCAACTGAAAAAAAATATTTTTTATACCATTAATTCTACACGTCGAATAATTATTTTTTTTTGTGTTTACTAATATTGTAAGTAAAATAATTGAGTACTACCTAATAATATCAAATTGATATAAAGTAACAAGACTAACGTCTCTTCTCACATAACGTATGCAAAGCTTGTTTTTTTTGAAAGCGAATTACTTCGAATGCGAAAAGGACGAAAGTTTCACATTGCCTAAAGATTTCCTAAGTGAATTACGATAGAAGTGATATATGACATGATCATGCGTGATTTTTGATAAGTCAATACCATCGATCGGTGATATGTAATTCATAATTTTATTAAAACAACGTGCTACCTTATAACAATGTACATCATATTATATTAATAAATCATATTTCGAAAGTAATTTCATTATTTTCTGAGATACTTTCTACGATCGATTTATGATTACTTTGCTTTATTTTTCAATTTGCAAATATTTTTAGATTTTAACTCAAAAATAAATCGAATAATGGAAATTAAAAAATTTAGAGGAAAAGAATTAAAAGATTTAAATGTTTTTAGTTTTCTCCATAATTTTTGTATTTTTCTAATTAATTTATACTATTTGTATATAAAATGTATTGTCGAGCAATATTTTATTATTTTCGTATAGATTTCATATAATCGTCTATTCTCACCTTGATAGCCATGTTTTTTTACTTGAATGTAATTCTATGATCTCACAGATGTGTTTAGAAGAGGACTGACATTCGACTGAGTTCTGACAATCGTATTTATAGGAACGACAGGGTGGTCATTGGTGAAACGTGTGTCGCATCCCTTGTTGAATTGCAAACAGTTTGAAATGAGTGTACGTGACGTGTATCATACGAGACAGGAAAAGTTTCGCTCTCATTTTGAACTATTTTCGTATCCTCAAATGACCGTATTATAATTAATAGTTACGCAAAAATTTTTGTTTAAAAATAAAAATCTTTAATTTTTAAATCGATGAAAGGTAAACAAAATCAATAAAAAGTTCAGTTTTATAAATTTTCTTCTGTAGTATCGTTTACCCTCGCATTTTCAAACGGTATTCTTTTTTTTATAAACAATGTAGTTAAATACGACATTCATTAATTTTTTATTAAAGTTACACAAAATCAAATATTTAATATTTAAATGGTCAATAATTTTTCTGTACCACCGTATTGCTTTCGCCATTGCGTAACTGAAAGGTTTTGGTCACAGCTGCAAGTGTAACACTTCCGCTATGTTAAGTTGGCCCGCACAAAGAATATTAAGTGCACACACGATTTATCATGTGTGCTTACCTTTCGATCGTAAGATTATAAAGTATACCAGATAGTTGTACTAATTACATACGTCTCAGTTATTCTTCACTTGTACATTTTTCATTTTTAGATAAGTATAAGAGTTATAATATTTATTAAAAATCTACTAATTAAGAAGATTTAATCTTTAAATCATTAATTCTTGGATATATAAGGAAAAAAAAAATGTTTATAATGTTAAGTAAAATATAAAGTAAATTTGTATGTATGTAACAAAGCTTATTAATTGAAATAATTTTTTCTTGAAATATTTTACAAAATGTAATACACACAATTTTTTTCAAAAATACAATGCCATCCAGGGATTTCATATAAATAACATTCTTCGCGTATGTATTAATGTTATCTATTATTTTTTAACAATTAGTTAAAATTTTACATTACTAGATGGCGTTGATAATTTACCGACCAACAATTAAAAAGTGCGCGAAGTTCTTTTATATGTTTATATTTTCTTTACATAGTATAGCACGAGATATATAAAATAATAAATGATAATATATCTTATTTGTATATAAATTAATTTTTAGTATAATTTATTTTATTCTATACATACTTTAATTTTTATATTTTACTCTTACATACTTTAATCAATGAATTGAAAGATTTATTTCTACATGATAAACCTATAAGAAAAAAGCATTCTATATCAATGAAAAACACTAATATTCTTATAAATATATTAGCTGTCAAAACACCGCAAACACCGTTCGAAATTCTTTGTAATAAGAATAAAATATACAATAATATAAACGAATTTCAAGTTTTTAAAAATAAAACAAGAAAGTTCGTATGTCACTTATTGATTAGAAATTAGGGCCATGTAATTTTTTGCCTTTTCTTTGTAGGTGGTAAAGTTGAATCCTATAACACAAAGGTAATAACTTTAATAAGAAAATAAAAAAATGTTAATAGTATAAATATATGTATATAAATACATCAAAACATACTTCATTTTCTTCATTACTTTCATGTTTGTTAATTCCATTACAATCAATTTCTACTTTTGATATAGAAGTTAGACGAACTTTTTTCAATATTGATTTAGTTTCATGCATGAATGACTTGCATTCTACTAAATTTCCCTGAGATACTCTTCTTTTCTTTTCACGTAAGTTAGTAGTATTTGTATTGTCATGCTTATCAGAAACACTAAAAAATAAATTTACAAATTATTATTAAAATATTAAATCCTCTACAAATATGTAAATTATGCTTACTGTACTGTTATATTTTGATCTGTTTCTGATACAGGCTTCTGATTCAAATTATTTCTATTTGCTTCTTTACAATTTATATCTCCAGCTTGTCTTTGAGGTAATGGCATGGCAACTCGTTTGTATAATTCTATCAATTCAGTTTTAGATAATGTTTCAAAATCTGTTATTTCAATACATCTCTATATAAACAAGATAAAAGTATATTATATATTAGAGATATCATATAATATAGAAAAATACATATATTTTTATAAAATATATATTTCAAAGTTGAGTTAACATTGATGTGATACTCACATTTTTTAATATTTGACAGAGTTCATGTTCTGATAAAAATTCTGGTTTAGTTAATCGATGTGAATCTATTATTGACATTATTACTTATTTACATAAAATCAAACTATTTATGTTACATGAAAATATTTCATTGTATTAGTAAAGTAATATTATTAAGAGTTATCCGACTCCCATTGTTTACTCGAATAATTTTTATCAATTTAAAAGGTACTGATAATAATTATCTATTTAACATTAAGCATTCAGTATCCTTAATTATCATTAGATAAATGAAGAGTACATAACCTAAAAGTTTATATCGGATGAAAATTATAAGAAAATTCCATTTCTATTTCTTAATCGCATTATTTTATCTTTATTTATAATAACTTTGAATTATTTTTAATCTCATAAGTCATTTTCACGCGTTTATACATTACACGTTATAATACACAGAATCAACAACCAAGCAGTAAGATTTAATTGTCTACTATCGCGTGATGATAAATTCTTAGAACTGTGATACTTCTTAATTCTATATAGATATAGATAAATATGATATTTATCTATAGTAGATAAAATAGTAAATAATCATTCATCAAAATGTATAACATAAAGATTATCAGATATTCAATATTATAGATATAAGGCTTAAAACAATAAAACATGTCTAAATTTTAAAAATAAAATATTTTCTGCCAAATAAGTATATTAAATGAAGTATATTGGAGTTGAAAATAACAAATCAATGTTCTCTAAAACTAACTTTATTCATGTCATTATTTAATCAATCAGTATTGTATTCAATATGATACGTTTCTTTTCCATTTTAATATTCACATATTTATTACCTAACTATAAAATGAAAATAAGTACATATGCAAAATTATAATAACAATGGAAAACAATAAACAACAAAGATATGTAACATATAACTGTAATATATTGACATATGTATAGATGCTTTTTTATATATAAATTATATACAAAGTACATTAAATTTGAATGGACCTTTCATCAATGACATATACTGTTGAAAGGAAAATTTTTATTTTTTGCAGAATAAATTCATTCACTTTGTTAAACGAATTATGCACATATACTTTATATGTACGAGAAAACAATGTCATTTTTATGCAATGATTAAACTGGCAATATCTGGAATAGAATGTGTTCAGAACTATATTTTTATATATAAAAAGTCTTCTTAAAGTATGTATTACAATCTTAGCTGTGCATGATTTCGATATCAACGACATTTGAAACTGTCAATGCAGATTTATAAAGACTAGATGATACTGTCTCTGATATAACTTTTTTTTTCATCGCTGAAATCGTTTCAACATCGAAACCTGAGATTTCCACTTTAAACTCCAGGAAAAATGCTGCAGTTTTATTTTTCGTTAAAATTATTTTTTAATTGTGGCTTGTTTGTCAAAGCAGTTATTTGAGACTTTCTTATTTGACATACATTGGTAAATAGTAAAACATTTATCTCTCTTCTTCTGTACAGTTGTTATTATTATTCCATCCATAATAACTCATTTTAATGACAGATTAAGACCACAAAATGAAATGGATAAGTCTTTTATAATGATAATAGATACAGAAAATTTGATCAACATGATTTTAATACTATTATAATATCTCTGATAGCTTCACATTATTAACATTACAAGTTACTGGTAATATGCCTCTACCAGTAATATGTCAGTATAAAGGTTTAAACATTTGCTATGTTGCACTTCGTAATATTCGTACGCATTCATGGCGTAACTTCATTTATCTCTCCAATCACGAATGTATTCTTTAACAAGATTGTGACCTTATTTTTCTCATACATGATATATAGTAATATTGAAAAATTTCTATTTAAAAAATATTGAATAAATATATAACGATTTTATACAATTGTACTGTATATACTTTTCATTCCGAAATTAAAAATTAAAGTGGAAGTAAAAAGGCACTATTTTTGGGTATAGAAAGCAATCCTCTTCATAGGCCTTTCTATCTTCTATCAGTTAGACTGTAATTTAATATCTCATATTATAGAAGTTACGCCGTTGCGATCGAACAACGCTCATTCTATTATATTTATAAAATCGTATTAATTACTTATTGAAAGTAATATAATTAAATAAAAATATTTAAATAAATTATGATTGTTGATCAACAAAATATGATATAACAAAAATTTGATAGTATCTTATAATACAGTGGAAGGATAAAGTAATGTTATTTGTATATCTTATTACAAACTATAGTAGAATTATTATGCTGTAAACAATTACTTTTTCATTATCCCTTAATAAATTTGATTAATTAAGAAAAAAATTAAAGATTGGCAAGAGAATGTTCAATTGTTCCACGCACAGCACATTATGCTATGAAGATTATGATGAATATTATCTCATCATAACTGCATTACATAAAAAGACCAATATTATATCATATTGACTGTCGAGGATGACATCAATTTAACAATCATTAAACAGGTGTTTCATGATCAGTCTCTTCGATTCTTCCCAATCTCCAAGCATTTGGATCACCTGCTGCTGTAAGTTTATAATAACGTTAAAAACTTTATATAATAAAGATTAAAAACTTCATTGAATTAAATACATATCATACATACAAATTTTGAATTTATTCTAAATAATTATATAAACAATAAATAAAAGTCATTTATTAGATTAATATAACCTATAGTAAATAATTGTTCTTTTCTGGCACTACTTTAATCATTGTAATAATTAAAAATGTAAATATAATTTCAAAGTATTCGCAGTAACCAAAATGAAGCCTACATTGTTATTGCATATTTCAAAAGCTTTATCAAACACTGATAACAATCCACACACATGCATACAATTTTAAATCAATAACAGTAATATTGCTGAGTAAAAACAATAGGAGAGACGCTTAAGAGGAACCTACCTGCATACAATATTCAGGAGAAAAGAATAAATGAAGTTTTTCTGTAAAATTCTGTAAGATGTGAGATGTGTATGCTTTTTTCAAAAACATAATATATGCAATGCATACAAACGTGCTAAATAGAGGCACAATTTGTTGCAAAAGCATTATAAGGAAGACTGAATGTTGCATTGCACAGGATTTAAAGGACATGTATAAGGCACGCACAGATGATTTGAGGTATGATGTAAGGCATTGTGTAGTACTTCTTGGCTCATGTACAGCAGCGGCATTCTCTCTTCTATCCAAAGCAAAATCAAAATTGAGGTAAAATTAAAAACTTGAGTACAAAATTACAGTTGCAAGTAATAAATATTCTCACTAATTATTAGTTTATCATTGAAACGAATTCTATAGTGTCCCCTTTATTATATAGAGGATTTAATACCAATTTATCAATTATTTAAGTTAAAAAAGATAAAAAACTTTTATAAAATATAAAAGCAACCAGAATAAAATATTTATAAAAAATATTTGTAGTAAAACATTTAGGAATTGAAACTTTATATCAGATGTCTAAAAAACATCAACCATAATCATAAATTATGAAGGAAAACATATTAACATGCATATTGACATGCTGCCATATAGAAGTCATATCAAATCAAATATGTAACATAGTTTTAATAAAATGTAATTTAAAATATATACTAAAAAATTAATTATATTAAACATTTATTATGATATATACTACTAAATATTAATATGCTCAATGAAAATTGACATTAATCTTATAAAAAAGTTAGTTAAAATAACTAATAATAATTTTATTATTAGTTATAATATAAAATATAATATAAAATAATTATTTGTCGTAGAGGCTGCTGTTATTTTTGTTTTGAAATTTATTCTCTTTTAACATCATTTTAAATATTGAGTTGTAAGGAAATAATATTTCATTTAACCAAAAATAGTAATATCTTTTCTTAATCTATTGAGTCTTAATTAATCATAAACTGTTTTTTTTAACACATATACATATAAACATGCTTATATGTAATTTGATAATTTTTACCTTGAAGCTGACGACTGATAAGAGCAGTAATCCCCTGACTATCACCTGTTTTTTTAACGACGAATAGCTTAGTATCTGAATCATTTTCTAACGTCCCTATGCTGCCAAGACCAATAACTTGTCCATTTTGTTGTTGATGACTGCTAGCAGCCATTGTTTCACTAACCTATATTATAAATATAATGTAGTTACAGTTACATCTTTAATAAAGATAAACATGCATCTATTTTCTCCCTTCTTGAAAATATAACACACATTTTGTGTGTCTTATTAATAATAAAAAATGATCCAAAGAATTACCTGCATCAACTTTTTAACTACATCTCTGCCAAGGATATGATCAAAAACTGCCTGCAGGAATTGATCACTAATAATGCTTAATTTTAACTTATCTCTGTGCCATAATAATATCCTTGATTCTTCCATTGCTGTTATAGATACCTGTAGAATAAAACGGATCTTTAATATATATATTTATAGATAATATATAAGTATATTACATACATTATCCACAAAGTAAAATAAAAATACCTGGAAATATTCATCTGTAGAGACACCAAACCATTCTGGAGAATCCAGGAACTGATGAGGGAAGACAATATGCAATGCTCTTCCATTCTGTGATACAACTAATCTAAAGAAAAACAGAGAAGATTCGTGGACTTTACTCATAATTATATGGTCTTTACTCATTAATTATAACTTAAATTCAATGTTATTTGCACAAACTTCATTATTGTCTATTCATCTCTTAAAGATGAATAATTAAATACTTACTTTCCTGATAATACCAATGATAAGGAATCAACTTTTGTTACTTTCTCTTGAGCGTAAACTTCTTGATATTTTAATTGTCTGATGATCTTCATACAATTTAAGACTTTTTTAAATTGATGGCGTGATACTCTCAATGGCTGGAATACGGCAATATATACCTGTATATAAAAAACTAAGTATAAGAGATTTTTTCTATTTATAGATTTAAATTCTAATGTAACATTGCTGTAGTCTTAAAATATTACTAATATATTTGTAATATACACTATAACTTAACTGAGACTTATTTACATAAAATTTATTAAAAATTGCCATGTACTCCTGAAATCATTATAAGACTAAGTTAAAAAATGTTTACATGGTTTCGAAAGAAATATTTATAGCATGCTTTATATACCATATTAAGAAAACAGTAGCTACAATAATAATAATAGCTATGATTACAAGCTATGTCTCTTATAAATATTAATTGATATTTAATTCTTCCAACTGTTTTCAAAACTTAGTTCAATTAGATTAATATTGTTATCATATAATAAATGATAGATTCTAGTGAAACTGAATGGGACTAGTGACTTTAGAAAATAGAAAATATATCCAAAAAAGTTCTGATCAGTTGGAATTTCCAAATGCATATTTGAAAAAAATTTCCACATTACAATCTACAACTATGCATTCCTTAACAAAAGTCTAATCACTAATAAATCTATTGTTATGCAAAGCATAACTATACATCATTTTCAAACATATTTTAAGCTATGCAATACAGTACATATCAATCTACTTTTTGTTTTATATGATATAAATATATATCTCTGGTGTATGTTAAAATAACTACATATATATTTGTTAAATAAAAAAATATTATAAAAACGTTATCATACAATTGTATAAAGTAATATGAAGCATCTTATATACAGAATGTAACATTTTTTAAGCCTTAATGAATTACTTTATCAATTTCTAGTAATCAATTGTCAATTTATACACTTTTAAAACAAGCCTGAACATGGGAGTTCAATGAAAACCAAATACTTGTTTCTTCCATCTAAACAATATTGTGTTCTCCTATGCTCAGATCTGTCTTAGGACATTGCATAAATATAAAATATGCAAAATAAAATATTGTAACATTGTCCTAAGTCATTATAGCTTCTCTTTTATCTTTTACTTACCTCTTCAACTTCCCTTGAAAACTTGATAGGCCTGAGCTTGTAAAGAAGCGTGCATACATGGACGAAGTTGATGACAACAAAGAGAGCATTCCAGAGCACGACGTCCAGCCAACAAGCTATTGTCCAGCCCCACAAAGCAAGAAAGGCACAGCCCACGAGCAGAGTGCACCTTAAATAGAGGACACCATGTATGCCACTTGGTGCAAGGTGTGACAATAGGAAGAAGACATTTGCTAATTGAAAATAGACATGGTTCACATAAATTCCTTGATATGGTTGGCAGGTAAGAACTCCGTGGAGAAAGGTTGGAGGCACTGTTGGCGAATGAGGATGGCCAGTTCCATGGCTGACCACTGACAGTCCAGAACCTATGAAATATTAATGAAAGAAACTGTCCCAAGAAAGTAGTGAATAATATTTGTGAAATTTAAGGAGTTAAATATAATGAAGATATATAAAAAGTGTCTTTAACAAGATAAAGTGTCCTTAGAAATACTTGTACATTACAAAATAAAAAACTAGAATTATTTATTCTACGTCAAACTACATTGTCATAAAATTTATGTATGTACATTGATACTTGTATCTATGTGTATGTATTATAAAAGCAAAGCAAAACTGTACAAAGTTGAGATATACACAAATGAAGAGATATACGTACTTGCTCTATCATCAGTGGTCACATTCCTACATTCGTCATTCTCATGATGCGTAACAGTTGGTGATGATATATCTGATGTGACAGTATTATGAGGTATATTGAATGTATCAGCATTTGTTAAACTAGCATCAACACTGTTAGAAATCGAATATAGAAGTATAAGGAATGAAATGGAAGCACCCAAGCCTTCTCGGCTTCCTATTAAATCAAAACAGATCCACATCCCCGCATTACCACTAAATTATCCAATTTCGTTTCAGTCTGTATAAAAATAATTTTATCAATTTTTTTGGTCATAGTGTAGCAAAGAAAACCAATATTTGAAACAACTTCTAACATATTATAATTTAGATAGTACAATTAACTATGTAATTATTAATTAACAACTAGAAATTATATTTCATACTTATTTATAAACGATGTAATAATGAATTCTCTGTGCCATTTGTGAATATGTAATTTTTGTTTATATATCTACATTACTCTCAGCTAAAATTAGAACTTGAAGATGAAAACCATCTTGTAGGCTTCAGGTCAAGGAAGGATATTTGCATTACAAACAGCTGTGGGAAGACAACGTCAACATCTGTAATATAGACCAATAATATATTTATAGCAATTATCTTACATAAAGAATTATAGATTATTATTAATACATACAGTAAATATTAATTTTTTAAATATTAACTTCCAACTTCATATTAAACTTATCATACTGTAATATATCATATCATTTTAAATCATTACTTTTAAAAATTATAATTAATTTCGGAAAAAGTACAGCTCATTACTTATAAATTATTAAAATTTTCTAGAACAAATTAACTGATAATCTTTAGAAAATATAGAGGTTAGATTAAATTTTTTTTAATATAATTTTATTTAATTTTTACAATATCTATTATTAAGAATATTATTTTGTTATACATTCTAGTCTAAACATTTTAGTCAGAAGGTTTATTTAACATACACATAAATGAGTGTATAAAAAAATCTATATGCTCCAAACAAAATTTAGTAACTTATTTTTATTCTAATTATTAAATATTTGTATTTTACAGAATATATTAAAGATAGAAGTAATTCAAAGATTGTTTATATAATAATCAAAATTGGATAACTCGTTATTATTAATATTGTTGAAAAGTACACAAAATATAGACCATTTTTAGAAACGTAAAAGTAAGCTTGAATTTAATAGTAAATAAAATGTGTTGATCATTTTTTATTGTCCAATTTTTTATTAAGATACAAAATCTAATATTTGAAATGTCTTTTTTTGTCAATGTATGTTTACGAGATTGAGAATATTGACGCATTTATAAAGTATCATATTGAAATCAATAAATAACTTACTCATGGAAGATTTAAAATGATGCGGGCTTACGCAAGGCATACAGATAAAGAAATAAATAGAAATTTCGAGTATTTCCTTATGATTTTTAGAATTATTTGAACTCGGTACACGAAACAAATTCACTTATCCAATAAACGTCAAACTAGCAGAAAGACGTTGCTGTAGCAGTGACAAGTAAAGGCGACGGCAAAGCGTAAGAGGCAAGAGGGGATTAAATAGGCCACGCTACACTAATGAGGTACGTTCCGAAATGTACCATCTATAAACAATAAAAACATTCGCTAGTATTCGATGGCATTTCTATGAAATTGCTTATAGATAAACAAAAATTTTTGATTGGTGTATTTTTATATTATCTTTCTATTAAATTTTCAGGTTTATTATAATTTTCTTTTCTTGAATATTCGCAAGGTGCCAGCACAATACAATTGCAATAAGCGAATTTATCTAAGATGTTTGGTATCACTGAGAGAATTTGGAGGTTGTTTTAAATAATATTTTGAAGAAATATTTATAAAACTTTAAATTCCATTTATATATGTATATATGTGTATACAAATATTAGTATATATGTACTGATATAACTATACTAATAAAATGACAACGGAAAAAGATTTGGTAAATGGTATGTATTAAAAATTAAAAATACTTTGTAGCACTATGTATATAATTTTAGAAATACACATCTCTTATGTAAATTATATGTGAAGTTTCTTTATGTAAATTATAATATATAAAACATAATCATTACGTTCAGCATCATTTTTCTATAGCAGTAAGAGAATCTTTGGAAGCTGGTGGAGAGCTTGGTCGTATAAGAGCTGAAATGCGAACTGAAGTTTTCAAATTATTAGATAGTTCTAATTCGGAAAGTAAAATACAAAATTCCAAACAATCGTCTGATATTATTATCTTCAATGAGCTTGTTCGCGAATATTTAAATTGGATGGGATTTAAGTACAGTTCCACTGTGTTTGTTGCAGGTAGAAAAAATGTTAAATTGTATCATTTAATTCATATTTTAAGAAATATAATATTTAATCAAAATGAATATCCTCATTGTAGAATGCGATCTTTCAAAACATCCTTATGATCGAACATTACTAGCACAAGTTTTGGGAATAAAAGAAACTGATACAAGTAAAAAATTGCCCTTGCTTTGTGGCATAATAGATTCATTAAAACATATGAAAAATACATAAAGACAACAATATATATATGTAACAAAGTTTACTTAATAAGTATATATATTTTTGTATTGCAACTTCTATATGAATCAGATATTAGTATCTGTCAATAATTTATGATATAAATTATGATAATGCCATTCATTTTGTATACATTTAAAATTTAGATTCAAAATGATACATTGAATATTGTATTAATCGAAATAAATAATATTGATAAAGGTCGAAATGCTTATATAATTTTAGTTATCTTTCGTATTTATAAAAACTGCAACATTATGCTTACTTCATAAATTGTATTTATTTACTTCTTAAATTGTATTTTGTTGTACTGATTAATTTTCTATTTGTAATTGTATTAATGTAATATTCTAATGAGTACATAAGTTGTAGATTTTTTACATTAGAATTAGATTAAAGTATACATGAAAAACTAGGTTTTAATGTATAAATAAATTTAAAAAGATTTTAAAAGAATTTTTCTTTTTTATTTCCTGACATCTTATATATATATATATATATATATATATATATATATATATATATATATATATATATAAGGTATATATATGAGATATTACATTATGAAAGTACAATATGACATTAAGATAGCAGAAATCCTAAAGATAGGTGTTCTTTAGCAATACCATTATTGGAAATCTTAAGAATATTATGACCTACTGACAGCTATAATGTACATCTTTTCTTATAAATGATGATACTTATAGTTTTAAAATTGAAATCAGAATATAATTACTTAAAGGCCATACAATATTACCAGAGAGAAGAAATGCTTTCCTTGTAAACATAATATTCTATTTATTCTGTATATGTTCATAAATTCGTTATGATCATAAAATTTGTTCATTAATAAATAATTAATTGATAATTTTTATAGTTCATATTGATTTTAAAGTCCACATTATTTTTGAACTTTGTATTAACATTATGTATACAGCAAGAAGCAGTTATCTATTACAATTCATGGATATGCAAAGAACAATGCACATTTTTCACTTTCGTCAATAATTTATGCAATCATTAATGCTTGTTTTAATTTTAAAAGATATTTACCAAAAAGAAATGTTTACCAATATTTCATTAGAAGTTTCAAAATTACCTAATGATGTCATTTATGTTTCGATTTTTTCTTCTTCTTGGATTGCTTACTCTTGCTTTTTGATTTTTTTGATTTTTTCCTATGTTTCTCTTCATCACTGCTTGTTTCGGATGAATCAGTGTAACTATCAGATTCTGAGCTACTGTCTTTTTTAGTAGATTTCTTTTTTTTATGTTTCTTATGTTTCTTTTTCTTCTTTTTATGTGATTCATCGGAACTATCAGAATCGGAACTCGTGCTTTCAGAACTACTGGATGTATCTTCACTGCTAGTAGATTTAGACCTTTTTTTCAAGGATTTTATATCTATATTCTTTTCTAATTCTGATTCTTCAAGTTTTAATTTTTTATTAGGTAAATTGATAATTTTACCATCTTCAGGTTCAGATTCAGAATCAGATGCAGAGTAATCAGGTTCAAAATTAGATTCATCGAGTATGCTACGTTTACGATCAGATACAAGTCTAGGATTTTTTCTTTGTTTCTTTAATGTTTCTACAAGCGGAGGTTCTGGATTATCATAATTAATTTTGCTTTCACTTGTCTCAGTCTTTTCCTTCAAAATTACATTTTCTTTGTGTTTTTGTTTCTTTTCTTGACTTTTTTCTTTATCCTTCTTATGTTTTTTTTCTTTACGTTTCTTGTGCTCTTTAGATTTACTTCTACTACGATGTTCCTTCTTTCTTTTTTTATCTTCTCTTACTTTTTTATCTCTTCTTCTATCATCTTCATCTTCTTTAGGTTTACCAAGACCTACTTTAGGTACTTCGTTTCTTTTAAATACACATGGAGGTGTTCTACCCCTCCTTTCTCGTTCTCGATCTTTTTCTCTATCTTTATCCGATCGTTCTCCTTTTGTTTCGCCTCTGTTTGATCGAAAATCTTGTCTTGATTCTATCCTCGTATCTCTTAATTCGTGCCTCTCATGTCTGAAATCATTTCTATCCCTTGAACGTTCACCTCTGTCTTTATCTCGTTTCCTTTCTTCTAGAAATACTTTGCGATCGGTACTTGATATACCTAACGAAGAATCGACTCTTCTCTCCATAAGTGGTGATATTCTCTTATCTCTTGTACTTTTTGGAGATCGACTTCTAGATTGATTTTCACTTTTCGTTTCCCTTCTATCTAAAAAGCCTTTAATTGGACTAATTTTTCTCTCTTTGTTATCTTCGACTTTGTCGCCAAGTCTCTCCTTAGCGGACAAGCGCGTTGGAGAATAAGTCTCTGGAACTGGTTTAAATTTTGTTCGATCTATCTTCGCTTTCTTCAAAGGTTCTGTAATTTCTACATTTCTTTCATTTCTACCAACGTTAATAGTTACATTCACACTTTTCCGTTGTTCTCTAGTTGGTTCTGCTTCAAGTACCTTTGGTTCTGGATTTTGATATAATATCTTCCTACTCTCACTAATCTTTTTTATTTCTATTGGTCTTATCGCATTAATAGCTTTTTGAAATATGGCATTCTCAGCTCTTTTTAAAACTTCAGAAGTAACTACTTTCATTGATTTTGGTTCGTCTATTTGCATTTTGTCTGTAGGAGATTCACATACATCATCAGATTTTTCTATTGTATCATCTCTTTCCCATTTAGAAAGTTCTGGTACAGGAGCTAAAAATTCATCTTTCTTTGGTGATTTTTCCTCACATGTAGTTTCTTTATCCTCTACTTCATTTTCTGACAGTAAGGAATATTTTTCTGTAATTACTGTATTTATTTCCGTATCATCTAAACCACTGTAAAGACTATCTATTGGTTTTATTTCTGATTTTAATTCTGGTATGGGTTTAAAATTAGGATTGGGTGGATTTGTACCAAATTCTGTATGTTCCAATCTTTCTGGGCTAGGCTCATTATATTCAGGTGGTTCAGGATTCATGGCTAAAGATTTATCTTCAAATTCTTCTTTTGCAGAAACTATAGTTTCATTAGGTATACACTCCATTCTATTATCTATATTATCATCTTCATTATTTGGTTTTACAGTTTCAATTTTGATAGGTGAAGTAACTTCTGTTTTATTTTCTGTTAATGTATCCTCACTTTCGGTCATTTTAATTGGCTCCTCTTTCATTACCTCCTTTTGTCCCGATTTTTTCTCTTTCTTCTTTTTCTTCTTCTTTTCTTTTTCATCACTATCTTTCTTCTTTTTCTTTTCTTTAATCTTTTTCTCTTTCTTCTTATCTTCTATTTTCTCTTCATGTTCCTTCTCTTTCTTTCTCAATCGTTCAGGAGAGATATCCTTCGCTTCGCTTTTACACTTTTGTGAATATGGAGTTGGACTTTTCCTGTTCTTTTTCCTTTCTATAGAACGTCTTTCATATCTGTCATGACGATCCCGGTCCTTTTCAGGATCATAATCTCGATCACGTCTATCTTTATCTCGTATACGGTTTTTGTCTTCCACTCTATGACGATCTCTTTCATCTCTGTAACTATATACAAGTCTTATTTAAATTAAATATTATTAATTACAATACAATTAGCAGTTTTTTCAAATTTATCTTTAGAAAAAATAAGATAGCATCGTAAAAAACATACCGATCTTTATCATAGTCTTTCTTTTCTATATGTCTATCTTCATCGCGACGATCACGCGGATGTCTGTCATCGCGATCTTTTTCTTTTTCACGTCTATCTCGATCATCTTTTTCTCGAATTCTGTCATCATGATCTCTTGATAATGCTGGTCTTTCACGATCTTCTCGATCTCTATTTACAATTCTTCTATCTCTATCTTCTCTTACACGATCATCGCGTTCACGAACTCTGTATAAAGAATTATATATATATATATATATAATTAACATTAAATCTTTCCTCTATTTTTTATTTTCATTTTTGTAATTATGTTTTTGTATTTAAAGTATCTTACCTGTCATCTCTAAAGGTCAATCTATCACGATCCTCAGTATCATGATCCTTCAATGGATGTTCACGGTCTTCTTGATCTCTTAATACACGTGTCCTTTCGCGATCTTCTCGTAAAGGTCTATCCAAATGTTCAACACCTGGAGGAGAAAGATCATAATAACCTTCAGTTCCTGGAGGTGCAACATCATCAAATCGTTTATGAGGTGGATCTCGAAGTGGACTACCAAAACGTTGTGAAGATCCAGAATATCTGTTGACAAAAAATAAAAAAAGCTGATCATGCATCTGTTACATAATAAAAAGAAATACAATAACATTCTTTATATGTCAAAGTAAAAAAATTAGTATACAAATTTTATATACCCTTAATATTTTCGTACATTTACTAATACCTTTTGTTTTAAAAGTCATATATAAATTTAGAAGGGAGTTATCATGTTAACCTGGGTGAAAATAATCACAATGTATTTTCTATCATGTCAAATGTAAATAAGTTTTCATCTCATATAGAGAGTTATCAAAATCATAAACTTACTTTTAACAGTAAATAGAATAAACAGCAATAAGAATAATATATGTAAGTTATTTCTGTTTAATTATTATTATTTTTCATATTCTGCTCCATTTTGCTAGGTACTTTATTAAATTTTTAATAATACAAAACTTTGGATAACTGATGAAATGTGTTGAGTTATAATTGACAATAAATCAAATATTTAAAATAAGATTACAAAACCATTTCATCCACATTTGAAAACTTGTTTTTCAAAGTCAAAATATTCTACAAAGTATAACAACTCAGAATAATATGTTACTCAAATTTTGTAAATAATAGAATAAAGTATCATAAAAATACATGAAATGATTAAACCAACATTTATAACTTTTTGTACATATTAAGTGCAGCAAGGGAAATACATAAGTATTATATTAGATATGCAGTATTTGCTAGTATTTCTCTTTAAAATAAGTTTACTCACCAAAATATAATTATGTACTTATTCAAAAGTTATATAAAAGTCAGCCAGATTGTAATTTCTATCA